TTTCCTTCTGCAAGATGAGCCCGTTCCCCGATCCGTCAGGGGCGGGGGTCGGGGGGTAGGGAGACACACGCTGCCACGCGAGTTTATTTAAAACTGACGCAGATCCAGAGCGCGAAGCCACGCTTCCTTCAGACCATCTCTTAAATGAGTAGCCGGAGGGAGAGACATAACTGTCACTGAGCAAATTCCCTTTGCAAATATCCAGGCCCTTTGGTGCCAACGTGAGAAAATCCAGTCTCGTGCGCGCTGCCTTTTGGGGAGAGAAAAATAAAAAACCCAAAAAATTAAGGATTCCTTTATTGTGCCTCGAGCTTCAGAGCTCGGCAATTAATTCCTCCATGCTAACGGACCCTGTGTTTACGAGGCATTATTATTTCATGGAGGCCCATTTTAAATGGCCATTTTTTTCATTAAGCTGCCTCGTTTTACTGGTGAAGGCCAGTTTATAACCTCACTTAGACCGTGTTCCTTGAGTCATAACTATTTTTCTTTTAAAATATTTCGTAATAACCTACCATCCATATTTTAAATGTTATCCCAAGTCAGAGAAGACTTCCCGTGGCTCGGGCGTCTGTCCTCATGGTTCTGGGTCATGTCCAAGGACGCGGGGCTGCCAGGCCCTCTGCACACCCCGATTTAAAAGCCCCCAGAGGAAACCAAGCCTCGGGGACTGACTTCTCAGCCTGACCCATTGATGTATGGTGTTGCCTATTTATTCGTCTGTTCATTCGCTTTTTTTCTTTCACCAAGAACCTAGTGAGCACAGAGCAGGGACTGGGACAAGCAGGAGGACACGAGGGTCTAGATGGAGAGGTGATTGGCAGCCACATCAGTCTCCTGCAGGAGCCTGTACCCTCTACCCTGTTGTCAGCCCAGGACATGCTGCTGCCTAAGGAAGTTCTTCCCTTACAGACTCCTCAGGGGAATGCACTGCCTGAACAAGTCCTCCCTTCTCTGGCCTCAGCATCTCCCACCCATAAAATGGGGTGAAAATGCCCCACCCTGGCTCTCCAGGGAATTGGGGGAGCATTGGGTATCTACAAAGGACCATAGAACAGCCTTCTCAACGCTTGTTATTAATAGTATACCCACATCATTATCAATAATGAAACACAAATTAATAATAAATAAACAAACTAATGATAAATAATACATACATCAGGAATAATACATTAATACAACAAGGCCTTTGAGCATCGATGGCCCCTGACAGAGGAGGATCTGATTGGCTGTCTGGAGATCACACAGGGGGTACATTCCGGAAGGGCCTGAGAGACCAGGGCAGGGGAGGGACCCCCAAAAGTGGCAGGCACGTCTCCAGGCAAACGCTGCAAAGTGTTTGAGGTCCCTGGTGGTCCAGAGCTGAGCTGGCCTGCTGCTGGGGGAGGTGAGGACCAAAGTGAGGGTGGGGCATCCCCCTCTAGATAATTTCTCCTGGCGCAGATGTTGGGTGGCAAATTCATAGCCCAATAACATCTGAATGGATGTTATGGCCAATGTTAGGCCAGATAGCTGAAGAAGTTAGTCACCCATGGATTCATGCATTCATTCAACATGCCTTCGATGCCAGCGGTGTGGCCAGAGCAGGCTAAGTACTGACAGCAGTTACTGAGACAGGCTTTTGCCCTCTAGCAGCTCACAGTCCACAGTGATAGCAAAAAAGGGTGTCACCAGGCAATGGGGTGGGGCTATGGCAGATGCCAGGAGAGATACACAGCCCAGGATTGGGTGCTGGGTATGGAGCAGGCATTAGAAGAGGCCCTTAGATAAACGATGGCTAAGCTAAGACTTGAAGGGTTTATCAAAGCTGGGGGTGGGCATTAGGTGAGTCAAGTGATGGCAGGTGTTCCAGACAGAAGGAAGGCAGGTACACAGACCCAGCAGCCAGACGAGCCAGGCACATTTGGAGAGCTCAGGGCAGCTGAGGCTGGGCATGCAGAAGGCAGAGAGACAAGAGAGGAGCTGAGGAGGAGCAGGCATGAGTGTGAGAGGAAGGGGTCTGAACTTCGTCCCAAAGGCAGTGGGAAGACGAGAAGGATTTGGCCCTGGGTGGACATCAGTGCCCTGGACTGCAGCGTGATCCCATTCGTCCAGGGCTCCCACTCACGAAGCCCTGCCTCTGTCTCGTGCAGTGTTCTGGTGTGGGTTCATTCATTCATTTATTCATACAGCGCACTGGCCGAGCACCTATTGTGTGCCAAACGTTATGCAGGGAACTGGAGATGCACACCAGGTCCTGAGTTTAAGAAGCCCCCAGTCCAAGGGCGGAGACACACAGAAAGAAACATATGTGACATTACAATGTGATGCGGACAGGCTGCGATTGAGATGTTTACACGGGGCCGTGAGCTCAGAAGAGGGAGCATCAGACTCATATAAATCAAGGACCGGGTGACTGTGGCTTTGAACCTGAAAGGACGTGTGGAAATTTCCGTAGGTGAACTCAGAGGAGGAAGACAGTCCCGGGAGAGGAATGGCACAGGCGAGAAGAGCCTGTGGTCTGGCAGGGCTGGTGGGTGGATTCCAAGGTGGCACAAACCCCAGTGAGACGGGCTGAGTTGGAGAGGCCAAGAGGCAAGATCACTGGGGCCCAGGTGGCCATGACCGAGTCTGAACTCAATCCTGAATTGGAAGGCAATGGGCTGGGAAAATGAATGGCATGAACCAGAGAGGAGGTGTCATTGTATTGACGCTTGAGAAATATCGTGGAGACACCGGTGTGGGCACATTGGAGGGGCAAGGCTGGAGGCTGGACACACTGGGCACCGGTTCCTAAATATTGCCGTGCAGGTCCTGGGGGAGGATTGTCAGGGCCCAAGCCCAAGCAGGATCGGTGTGGGACGGGGCCGATTTCCTCTGTTGGACAGGGTCTCCTGCCTGGCCCCCACGAGGGGCCCCTGGATACTCCACGGTGGCACCAACACTGGTCCAAGCAGATGTTGTCAGAGAGGAGGATCAGAAGGCACCTGGGGTCAGGGGAGGCCCTCGAGCTGCCTGGACCGACAGGGAGGGGGTGCTTCTGAGAGGGCCTCTGGGGAATGCCACCCACTCAGACTACGGGGAGGTCTAGGGAAGGGGTGGGATTAATTTGTTCCTGTTTCAACACCTACTCCGATCCAGGCGCTGTCCTAGGCACGTGGTCGCATGGCAAATGGAAGCAGTTCTCGGCCTCGTGCGGCAGTGAGTGTGCACCCAGTACACCTCTGCAGGTGATCTCAGTGTCCTACGGGGCAGGGAGGGAGGGTTTGGGGGGCTGATAGCCTAGGGCAGCGGTTCTCAACCTGTGGGTCACGACCCCTTTGGCGGTCGAACGACCCTTTCACAGAGGTCGCCTAAGACCACCTGCATATCAGATATTTACATTATGATTCATAACAGTAGCAACATTACAGTTATGAAGTAGCAACGAAAATAATTTTATGGTTGGGTCACAACATGAGGAACTGTATTTAAAGGGCCAGAAGGTTGAGAACCACTGGCCTAGGGAGTGAGAGAGAGCTTCTTGAGGAAGTGAGACTTCCATGAGTCCTTGAAGGATGAACAAGAGTTGCCCGAGCAGAGTGAGGGCTTGGGGCAGAGGGGACAGCGAGAGGGTGTGGGGGAGGAAGAGGAGGACACGGCAGGACTTGGATGGGGCCTAGGAGCCGAGAGGGGCCAGCGACACCAGAGCCCTGGATGTGGCCTGGTCACCCCGAGAGGATCCTCGACTTTTTCTGTGGAGCCCCCAGAGGCTCTGAGGGCCAGAGAAAGCCAGTAGTGAGCATCTTAGAGAAAGAAGTCACTGTGGCTGCTGGAGGAGGAGGAGGGGCGGGCACGGATAGAAGCAGAAAATTCAAGACAAATCCTGATCTCACAACGTCCTTCCTTATCCTCCGCCATGGTCTGCTGGCTACCCTTGAACACACAGACGCCAGGAGGAGGTCAGCACTCACTCCCACAGCCCCTAAGGCTGGTCCAGGGAGGCGTGGCTACCCTCATGATTGACGTAGGCAGAGAGGTGTGAATAAGTTACCAGGGCCACCTATGGCCGGGGTGGGGTTGGAACTAGGGTGACCAAGCTGCTTCCGTTTGCCACCCTGGTCTCAGAAAACCCCTCGGTCCCGGGCACACTGAGACACCTGGTCACCTTAATATAATTGACGTCTCCTTTCAGTGTACTCCCCCCACGGAAACCCTCACGGACTCCTGTCCACCCATGGGCCAGGCATGAGTCCGACCTCTGGAAGCATCCCCTCTGAGCCGGGAGAGGGCAGGGGCCGCGCTGGGATGGTGCAGGTCGGTTTCCGGACAGAGGAGCTATTTGTCATCACCTCATGGGGCGGGCGCCGGTTCTTAAATATTGCCTGCGATTTTGCTAAATGTGTCTTAACGGGAGCCGTATAAATGCTGTCGGAGATAGAGGGGAGAGTGATGGTCGCCTTCGGGATAATGAGCCCCTTAGTGAGGATGAATCCGTGCCACTCCTGATGCCGCGCCGCGATACCACGGGTGGGGGGTGAGGGGCTTACGCATCGAGGCTGACTGGTGGCACAGCCAGTGCGGGAAAAGACAGAGCCTGCCTCTAGCGGGTGGCCGAGTAGTTGGCAGCCACTTCTCGGAGAATTGGCGGGGAGTCGTACCGGACACGAAGGTGGCGAGATCTGGGCGCTGTTAACAGCGGACATGGGACTGATTGGAGCGGGAAGGCCCCAACAATCCAGCTCATCCCTCATTTCACAGATGAGGAAACGGCGGCCCAGAGAGAGGGACGACCTGCCTGAGGTCCCAGAGCTGGTTGACCGCTGAGACCAGAACTCATGTCCTGCGTGGCCTCAGCCCGTTGCGTGACTCTCCTCCCGGCGATCGCAGGCGGTGGTGGGATGAGACTGGCTTCCGGGTCGGGCAGATCTGGTTTCAAATCCTAGTTTGCCACTTATATCGCAGCCGTAGAGCAAGGTGCTCTGAGGCGCTGAACCGTACTTCCTCCTGCGACCGAGGAATAGTCCCAGGGTGGCGTGAGGATGGAGGATGCACACGGGAGAAGGCGCAAAACGCAGCACTTGTCTAACTCCGCTTTCAACACTATTGGGAGTGGAACTCACATTGCAGAAGGTGAGGCAGATGTGCAAACAGGCAATGACACTGCCGTGTGGCATGCACAGCGATCCTAGCATCGTGCGAGGTGGGCACGGCTGTTGTGAGAAGCCCGAGTGAAAGTGCTGGGAAAGCTGGAAGGTTCCGTCCGCGTGCCAGGAAGGCGGCTCTCATCCTTAGTGCCCAGGCCTCCTCCTTGCTCTGCAGCCTGGAGCCACTCCTCAGTCCCAGGGCCGAGAGGAGGAGGAGCCTTGGCCAGGACTGGCTCACCCCGTCCTCCGCCGTCTGTGGCTCCAGTGGGGGACCTCGGGAGCCAGAGGCACAGTGACTTCCGCCTCAGCTGGGAGAGGTGTTTCCTGATGTTTGTTCCAAAGGGCTCTAGCAGAACCGGGACGCGGGGCTGGCCAGCGGGACTCAGGGTCCTTTAATTCTGCATCGTGGCCATCTCGCTTGCCTCACCCTCATCCCGGCCCTGGTTGTCGTCCCACAAAGATGCTCGGTCAAAGATGGGCTCCAGAGTGTACCAGGGCACGAAGAGCTTTCCTACCAGGGCCCACGTGTGGAGGTACAGAGCACGCTGAGCACGCTGCAGCCCCAGGGCCTTTGCACGTGTGCTGGGCTCTGTCTGGAATGCTCTCCCCCTGGCTCCCCAAGCGCTCACGCCTTCCTTTATTCTGGCCTCTTCAGACCACCTGGTCCAGAGCAGCCCCTCCCCCTGGCCCTCTGCCGCTCTACCCTGATGTGCACGTACCCTCCTGGCATGTTCGCGGTGTTTGTTTGTTTGCTCATTGTCTCCTCTGCTGGAACGTGAGCTCCATGAGGGCCTGTTCTCGCTGCTGTGTCCCCAGGGGCTAGCACAATGCCCGATAACGAACAGAGTCTCAATAACGTTTCTTTCACGAATGAAGGCCAGACAGGAAGGAGGAAAGAGAGAAAGGTTCTGAGAGTCTTGAGGGGAAAGAGCATGTCTAATTTTGTATCACTCCACATCTCCCACACTTGGTTGTGGATCAGAGAATCTCGTTGCTGAAACACCCACTAGGAGTTCCTTCCTTTGCACACACTCTGGGAAATGCTGTCTTATGGCGTCAGAGCCACCACACTCATGCACCCACTTCGAATCCTCCCTCTGGTGCTCAGGGACCCCTGTCTCCGTTGTGCAGGGGGCTGCTCCCTGCTCCTGGCCTGGCATGCCCCGTGAGTTCCCACCTTCTTCCGGTGGGAGGGGCTCTTCTCTGGTCTTGAGCTATTCAGCCATCTAGACGATGCTCAACTAACTCTTAGCTGTAGCATCACAGGTGAGACCCTAGGGGAGGGCAACCTCACTGGACAGGTGAGCCAGGGGGTCAGCCCCAGGACGGGAATCCGGATGGGATCAGGTCCTAGACTCCTGCCATGGTCTCCAAGCGGCACACCCTTCCTCCCCAGGGTTGGGCGTGACATGTTTGCCACCCCTTTCCTCACCTCCCTCATCGTTAGCAAGCCTGTGCATAGCATGGTGGTCATAAAGGAGCAGAAGGTCTGGGTTCGAGTTCCAGCTCTGCCACTAGGGCTGTGTGATCCGGGCAAGTGCCTTGGCCTCTCTGTTTTCCCGGTGGAAAGTGAGAATAATGCCTGTACCTCTCTCCTAGGGGGGTCATGACAATTGCATGAGTGAGTGTGCATGAAGCACGTAGCCCAGTGTCTGGCTCAGAGCGGGTGCCATGGGATTGTGAGCCTTTCCTGGGACTTGGCTTGCCCCAGAACCCTCCCTCTCGCTGGGTCCATCCCCCTGAGGGTAGGCTCTTGGTCAGGGTTTGGGATCCCAGCAGGGCCTGGGGACTTCCCTGATTGCTCAAGCTGGGCAGGTCCCCCCTAACCTCTCATAGTCCCCCACCTTCACCCCACCATCACACCCCCTGAGTATAAACCTGTGTCCCCACTGCATTCCTGGAGGGTGGGAGATGCCTGAGCCTCCTGCTTCCCAGGTCCGGTGCAGCGCCTGTGCAGAGCAGGTGGGAGCAAACACTGTGGCCGAAGGAGGAGAGGAGGAGGCGGAAGGCCGGCCCCTCTAACCTCCGTTGTTTCAGACCCATGGCTCTGGGGCTCCCTGTGCGCCGACTTAGGCGTAAGTTAGAGGCTGCCCAGTGATGAGCCCCGCATCCTCCCCCCTCCCCCTGGGCCTCGGCACCTGAAGCCTGGGGCCTGGAGGTCGCGTCTGACTTCAGCGTCCACATTGATCCTCCCAGGTCGATGTCTGTGTTTCACCCTGGAGTGTTGTAGCCATTACGCTCCAGGCAGCGGTCAGGCCCTGGGCTCGATCTGCTCAGGTCGCCTGCACAATTGAAACCTCCGAGCCCGTCCCGGCTGGTTTTCTCATTAAGACGATTGGACTGGATCGATCCATTAGGTCGATGGCTGGACATCAGCCGGTGGGAAGCCAATCGGATGAGCCTGGATGATAAACACAAGAAGGAGGCCCCCTGCCGAGCTGGAGGGGTACCCAGCCCTCATGGATAGGGCTCAGGGAGGCAGGGGGCGTCAGAGGCCTCAAGGCTGGACTTGGTGTGGAGGCAGCTCTGTTCCCCTGGGCACGGCACCAGGTGAGAGTCCCCGGGATGCCCGGGACAGCTGTGGGCGAGAAGTAACATCTGGAGTTCACAGAAGTTTGAAAGTTCTTCCCAGGCACTCAGCCCATAGTCACCTTCCACCATGTCACCACCCCCAGGGCCAGGGTTGGGACCGCCTCTCCCCTTGGGGGGCAGGGTGCGTGCAATGCAAGATTCGGGGTGCAGGAAGCAAACAGCAGTCCCCCGGGGCTGTCCGTCCTTTCACCAGGGGTAATTGGGTTGCAAGGCTGGGAACGGGGGGATCTGGCATGTAGGACACCATATCCTGATGTGGGTTTCGTGGGTCCCTGGCTGCATGGGATGCTGATGGCGTTCGGGGAATGGTTACGGGACCCGTAGTCAGATAGGTTTGGCAACGCAAGATGAAATGCGTTTGAGCACGCTCACTTCCTGTGCGGCCCAGCAGGCTGACACACATCCGTGGCTCTCTCAAAGGGGGTGGGGGTGAGTGTTTGACCACAGAAGGGTTTCCCAGGGTGCCAACAGGCACTGCTTTCACAGAGAATGCATCCCAAGAAGAAGTGTTAGGATTGGAGGGAGCCACCAGAGCCAAGGAAATTCCCAGAAAGGGGACGCCAATGAGAAGGAAGAAGAGGGTGGTGGCTCATTCTGGCTCAGTTACCCATCACAGAGACCACAGAGAACAGCTCCCCCTACAGAGGTGCCGGCCTTCTCCACCACCCGACCCGATCAGCACCCCCTCCTGATCAGCTCATGCCCTTAACTCCTCATTCTCCTTTTTCCCCCCCATAGGCTACTTGACTGTCAACATTGAGCCTCTCCCACCCGTGGTGGCTGGTGATGCCGTGACCTTGAAGTGTAACTTCAAGACAGATGGTCGCATGCGTGAAATCGTGTGGTACCGGGTAAGTCGCCACCACTGTCCCCTTTACTCCTCTGGCCAGAGCTAAGGGTGGGGCCCCCAGAGCCCATCTGGAGACCCTCCCAGGCTGGGCTATGCCCTCAGCCCTCAGCCCTCAGGCAGCCCCGAGCTGTCCTGTGCCCTCTGCCAGGTGGGGACCCTCCGCCAACACCCTGCCCCAAGACCGCTTCGCTCCGTCTTTCTTCTGCTCTCAGATCTGTCTCGTTCTGGTCCCTTTGTGCCCCTGATGCCGCTATGCTCGGGAAACCGCACAAGCACCCAGGACACTGCGCGTGGGCCCTGGTGCAGGGGGACCACCATGGGGTGCTGACGGGTGGAAGTTCGGGCAGGAGGCTTTGGGTGCTGTTTTTGGCGGGGGAGAGAGAGGAACAGGACAGCTTCCTGCCTTCCTAAAAACCAAACTATAGGGCTGGGCTGCCTTCCAATCCGCCCCGTAGAGGACTAGTCCTGGTGGCTGGCACCCTAAGTCTAGGTCGGAGAAGGGGTGTCGCTAGAGATGTGTAGAGGCCCACCGGCCAGGGCCCCAGTGATGGCAGCAGGAGGGCCAGCTTGTGGTCTTGGGCACGCGTGTTGGTCTTTTCGGGCGCAGACGGAACCTTCCTGTGTCTGCACGGGGCATCCCGGTCGGGAGGCGTTGACATCCTCTCACAATGAATGTTGGGTTTGCCCAGAGCGAGGCGCCGCCCTCTGGGGAACAGGGTCAGCGGAGGACTCCCCTTCCATGATCTAAAACAGAGGCCGGCCCGTTTTTTGATTTTTTTTCAGTGGGGCCCAGAGAGCAAATATTTTCCTCTCCGGTGACCATATGGTCCCTGTCGCCGTGACTGAGCCCTGCAGCCGGGTGTGAGGACAGCGACAGACAGCGTGTGGAGGGAAGGGCGTGGCTGGTTCCCATAAACGTTACTCATGGGGGCCGCAGTTTGAATTTCACGTCATTTTCATGTGTCGCAAAGCATTCCCCTTTTTTATCCTTTTCAACCTTTGAAAATGATTTCCGAAGACATTCTGGGTGGAAGGCCACAGGTGGCAGGGGGACTGGTCCCGTTTTGCCATCGTCTGCCAGCCCCTGGTGTGACATAACACTTCCCGAACCTCTGTAAGCTGTGCCGCCCTCTCCTCCAATGTGACCAAGGATGACAGTCACATGGAGCTGCTGTCCATGGCGTGGATGGAGCTCAGGGGTTGGGCACATCTTGGTGATCAGGCATCTGAAACTGGTTCCTTTGTTCCTCCAAGTTCTGTCCACACCCACGGCGCAGTCCACACTCACCATTCGTGGCCATGACTCAGAGCCGCTCCCCTCCATTTCCTTCCTGCTCCTGGTCCTGTCTTGCTTTGAAGCACCCTGCCCTTGCGCTTCCTTCTTGCATGTTTCGGTCTTTGATTCACCGCTGGCTGGTGACGGTTATTTTGTTGGCTGTGACCTGGGTCCCTTTGAACCAAAATTGTGGTTCTCCGTCGTCACATTGTCGCCCGTTCCCCCTGACCAGTAGATTCACCTCCAGGGCCCTCCACCCGGGCAGCCGGGCCCCACGGGTGTGACGCTGACTTCCAGGGGCCCAGCCCTTAGCTGAGGGCTCCACCCTAGATAGGTCGGCGGGCCTAGAGAGAGTCAAGGTGTATGTTAGATCGTGCCATGAACTGCAAGGCTCAGAGGCGTGTTTACATGATGCAGGAACTGCTTGGCTGACACGCCGTGAGCATCTCATTAGCACCTGGCAGAAGCACTGGGATGAATTAACTCCAGCTCCTCGCTGCTGACGATGGGGCTGTCTCTCCCTCCGCCGTCCCGAGGTGGGATCTGAGTGAGGGGCAGAGAGAACTATGGACGCCCAATGGGAACAGTTAATGGGGGTGGAGGTGGGAGGGAGCGTGGAGACAGGGAAATACCAGCGGGCACCTCGCTGCCTGCCCAGCCCTCGGAGCAAGTGTCCTCACTCTTGTTTGAAATCACTGTCACCATCACAGTGGTGACCATCTCTCTAGGGAGGTTGCTGCCAGGGAGGGGGGGATGCCGGTGCCAAGCCCAGGCCTGGGGATAGGAAACTGGGAGCCAGCCTCCCCGTGGCTCAACTCTCTGTTCTCTGAGGCTGGGGGATGGGGCTGGGCAGGAAGAAAATGCCCAGTTTCCAGTGCAGACACTTTCCCTTCCCTTCTCCACCCCCAACACGGGGCACCCCAGCCCACCCCATCCCCGCCGCAGCCTCATCTCCCTCCACCCTAGCCCGTGATCACGTAGACCGCTTTAAGAATCTCTTACGGTGTCAAGCCCTGCATATCAGGCTATGGTAGGCTGCACTAATTAATTTATTTCATTTCACATCCTTTGACGGAGGGCCTTTGGAGGTGGGGTGGGGGGGGTGCAGGTGTATGCAAATCGCATGCAAATTGCCCACTGGATCAAAATGCTTGGGTCCTTTTGATTCTGTAGCTGGACTGAGGTAGCAGCTCAGCTGACTTGGGACTCTCCTTGGGACCAGGCGAGGGCCGCATCCCCTGTCTGTGATGGTAAGGATGGAGGTGGAGGACGGGAGGAAGCCACCGGGAAATGGCTCCAGGCTGCCAGCTCCCTCTGCCTGCTGCCACTCTGGCCTTCCCTCGCAGATGGCCTCTTTTCCCGAGGAGCCGACTGAATGGAGAGAGATAAGAGGCTACCAAGACGGGGGCACCAGGAGCCACGGCTGGGCAGGGCTTCTGGAGGGAGTAGGAGAAGCACCAGCAGGAGCCCCAGTCTCCTTCCCCAGCCAGAACCCCGCACCAGCACGCCTCACCCCCCCGCTCCCCCACCCAACCAGAAGCTGCGGAGCCAGTGTTGTTTGTTTTCTGTACATGTGTTTGCCTCCCCGGCTTCCTCTCCTCCTCCTCCGTGAATGAGCTTACAGAGCCCGGCTTGGAAGGAAATGAATAGATTACACAGGCCCAGCCAGGGCTGAGTCTCCCATCCCTTTAGAAGGCAAAAGCGGGGCATTGTGGTGAGGCCACCCCTGCCCGCTCAGCCCCGTGGGCACAGAATGGCCCAAAACATGCGTAAGGCCCTGCAGCCTCTCCTCTGGCCCTGAGGACACTGTTTTAGGAATGGGGTCCTCCTGAGCTTTCAGAAACGCAGTGAGCGAGCGGAATCTTTGGGCAAAGTGAGGGAGCTGATGACATCGTCTGGAGCAAAAGGGATCTCCTCCTTGGGGTTAACGAGACCTCTGGCTGAACATTTGGGAAGGTCTTGCCTCGTGGGCCCCTTGGGAGTGGGGGGCAAGGAGAATAGGAGGAGGTAGCCAGGGTCCGCACCTCGGAAACTTTGCCCCACAACCTGGCCAATGTGTAGAAGATGCCAAAGCTGTGGACTAGACTCAAGGACGTGCACATGATCAGAGCCCTGGGTCTGTGCTGTTCAGTGTGGTAGCCACTAGTCACACGTGGGTATTTAAGTTTAAATTGAATTAAGTCAGATTAAGTTTAAAGTGTTTTTCCTCAGTCAGACCAGCCACATTTCAGGAGCTCCCTAGCCACGTGTCATCGATGGCCCTCATATGGGACAGAGCAGCTGCATGGAGAACATTTCCATCTGCACAGAAAGTTCTACTGGGCAGCTTGCTGTAGATATTTGAAATTTTTTTCCTGTGGTCTCTGGTATATACTGTGC